CTTGATGAAATTAGAATACAAGGATCAAAAGTTGACTAATTAATGAAGTAAGAGATAATGGTAAAAACAAAAATACTAGATGTATTATTTGCTTTCTAGCTTTTAATTGAAAGGTTACATAATGTGTTCTCTATCTAATCTATCATCAAAACACATCTGCGACTAATGAGTCAGTATGACCACGTGGATAAAAATTTATGTGTAAATTAAGTTGTTACACATTTTTTGCCATTGTAATAAAATGCTTGGTCTAATCAGATTTGAATTCAACATGTATTTTGATTAATGATTGATGAGATCGTTCAAATAAGAAATACAGACAGATTCATTATAGTGCAGGTACAAAATTCACAAAAATAGTGATACTTCTTATATGTTTTTATCATCAATTCCTTTATTTCATAATGAAATAATAGTGCGTTAGTGTCGGAAAAAAATTATAGTCAGGATGAACTCTGAAATATATATTATTTATATATAGATAAAATTATGTTTTAATGTATATATAAACATATATATTAGTAGACATTGAATTTCCTTTGACTAAATCACTTACTTACAGCTTCAAATTTTAAATCTCGTTAATAAGAGTATTAGATCAGCTACTAAGCCTAATACATGGACCCTAAAATAGCAAATGCACTTGAGTTTCGAATATTCCTAAGAAATAATTTTCTAACTACTCATATCCATAGCACACAAAATCTTACGTGAATGAGTATCTCTCTCTACAAAATATGCTGGTGTTCTTGTACAACAATTTATTTCTAGCCATTTTCATACATCTCATGGTTTTAACCAACAAATCAGACTTGACTTTAACATCATTTAGAATTAGATCTGACTTCAGTTCACACCCTTAAAGATGGCTAAAAATGAGAAGAATTATCCAAATCTTATTAGAAATCAATAGTTTTCATCTTTCAGCGATGCGAAATTCATTCCATTCATCGATATATAATACATGAACCTCTTAATCTAAAAAGAGGTTAGCTATTTGTTATACATTATTTTAATGTGTGTCATATTTTTTTTTAAAAGCCTGCGATAATGAGCAGAGAGGTGCGTTAAGGAAATAAATTGGGGCCAAGTTCCTAGCTAACATGTCACCCTATGTCCAGATTTTTACAACGATGTTTGTCGTTACAATGAAGGCGGTCTCGGTGGGGAGTACTTTGGCTATCAGTGCTATTGCACTATTGCTTGTTAAGACATGTAGGAGGCTTACACGATGGGCTATTAAATCAGTTGGTAGAGCATCCCCTATAAATGGTTATCTTGTTAAATAGAAGCAGAAACAAGTTGTTAGCTATATTCAATAATTTGATGTATGTTCTTCAGTTTGATATGCCAAATCGATAGTATATAAAATCAAACAAAAATAATCGATGGTGTGAAATATTTTAGAGAAATTGTGTGGGTAGCTCGATCCAAATAAATAATAATATTATATCTTAACATTAAGAATATCTTTATATTATTTTATTCCAATAATTGATATCATGACTAACGATTTGATAAAGTGAAAAAGAAGATTGTGGAGTGACAATGTGGAACCCAGCTTAGTGCCTTTTCTTATTTATAGATCAGTTTATACGTCAAATTTTGGAAAAGCATAAAGAAAAAAACAGTCTGTAGCATGCTTTGATAATCTTTAATATTCATATGATTTGGATGGCGCACAATTTATTAATCTATATATAAGTCTATAAAGTAATGAGTAATGTACACATAGAACCTAATTAGTTCGAAAGGGATATAGTTAGGTAGGAGCATATTATTAATTCTATATTGGTAAAAGTTAAAAAAAAAACATACATATTATAATATGTAAAAATATTTCAATAATATAAGGCCTAAAAAATCGTGTGAATCCAACTAAAGCAATTAAAACAATAGTATGTTAAAAGTATTTTCTTCTAATCCCACATAAAGTGCCTCCCAAACAAATAAACATGTTTATATTTTTTAAATAATTAAGTTAAAAATCTATACTCAAATAACACAGCAGGAAAATGTTCACCTTCTAATTCCCTTCTCAATATCCCCTTCTCATACGCCTAACAAAAAAAAAAGTGGAATCTAGGAGTACAATTATGCGTACACAAATTTTATATCTATCCTGTGAAGACAATTATTAGAAAAAATGAAAAATATAGACATACTTCAACACATCATATAGGTATAGGATTTAAAATCTAGACAGAATAAATTTATTCTCTTGCACATAATATAATTTCTTTCTCCCAACAACATTAAAATTCTTATAATCTTCCCAAAAGGAAGAAACTAAATTATCAAAGGTGTTGTAATAAGTCTCCAATCATTTTTTAGCTTAGCCTCTCTCCTTAAATAGAAATTACGTCTTGTTATCACTAAATTTATCATTCCTATCTTACCGCGTAATCTAGTATCTTGTATCATTGCATTGATGTTTCTTAAACAATGTCTCGAACTCTCGCATTCTGTAAAAAACTACCGCCTTCTACTGCTGTCATCATCTGAAAATGTCATTTTTGTGATAAATTAATTACTCGATAAAAAACAAAAAAAAAAGAAGATTAATTTTTATAGTCAAATCTCTGTGAAACAACAATTGATTAGGACAACCAATTTTGACGATAATTGAACTACTACACTTACTACCTTTATATCGACAGTTCATTCAAATATTTTATGTTTGTATAAAATATACAGAAACATTCGAACTATATAGTATATATGTCACTCGATAGGCAAACACAACAAACTCTAAGGAGCACATCTGTAGGATTCAATAAACAACAACATCTGCTTGTGTAAATATTTGACTATGCTTACTCATAATATTGATCACAGATTTTCCAAAACATATTGCCAATTGAACCTGAAAAGACTGAAAATATTTCTTCATATTGAACACGGCCTTATTTGGAAGGAAAATATCAGTGGTGTTACTGCATGTTATAAAGTATTTTTTTTTACATGGGATAATATTATGTGATTATCTATTTTGAAATATTACTTTTACAAATCAAATTTGATTGTATGCTTGAGGTCAATTAGTCTAAGTTTTGTGATTTTCTAGGTTTTTAAAAATTGGAAAATACAAATTATATTTAAAAAAATACATTCAAATTCTAAAATATCTATGCAAAATTTTTTGTCAAAAACAACTCAACTCCAACTTTGAATTTCAAAATAAAGTGATTTTTTTTTATATATTTTCATGTCAGAATACCCACTTGATGTTATACCACAAGCAAAATTGAGATGTATACATCCATCTTTCACCTATTTGTGAAAGCCATAATAAAGAATTACAAAAACTAAACTTAAAAAGACTTTAACATGAAATTAAATTTAACCTTTAATTATGAAACTTCTTTTATCATAAGTATCTTTAGTTTTATCTTCTTCCATGTAGGAACATTATAAGAATTTCTATAGATCGTTGTTTGGGCTAGGGCTGGGGTTGGGTCCTTCATTAGATTGGGACGGGGATTCATATTTGGGATTATACTATTTGCAAAATTTATGTGTAAATAATTTTGGAATAATAAGTGTCATAGAGAGGTCTTACTATATTAACTAAAGAAAGCTTGGTCAAGTGATTAGATAACAGGAGAAACAACGTCGTTGTCTAATGATGACATTGACAACACGTAAAGCTTTGCATGATGTTGTAGTATGTGTGCCACCATATAAGAGGAATTGAAGCATAAATGCGACATGATATACTATTCATCCTTGCTTCTTAATCTAGCATCTTGCACTTGAGCATCAAATTTTTTCAGATAGTGTCTCACATTCTTCAAATCTATAAAAAAATTTCGCATCCTATCAAAATCATCGTCATAAAATCGAACAATTATCGTTGTTATTTATTAACTAGACCAAAAAAATAGTTTCTTCTTTTATCGTTGTTATTTATTAACTAGACCAAAAAAATAGTTTCTTCTTTATTTGATATAGTTAGATATCTCTATGACAATCATTTTTTTAACAACAATTCACTTATAACAATCAAACATTTTTAGGTGCATATTTTTAATGTTTTCCATAACATCCCCCAAGAAGAGCACATGTACAGTGCAAATATAGAGATATTTTACTGACCTATATAGAAACATTAATGTTAAAAAATATAATAAGCAAAAGGAAATAACTAAACTAATTACCTCAGTGGAGGTGATGCTACTCTATGTAAAATGTGATAAAAACAAAATATAAAGACCTTTAATGGGGTGATGCTACTCTATGTGAAATGTGATGAAAATGAAATGTTAGAACTTGGGTATTTGTAGAGGATTTTAAGCCTAATTTCATATGATTTGTTAAAAACATTGCCATAAAAACATGGAGAGTTAACGTATGGAAGAAACTTTATTATTTGTCCTTTTTTGTGTATAGAGTTAAAAATTTTGCCATAGAAAACTTGGAAATATAAGATATGGAAAGAACATTATAATTTGTCTTTTTTTACTATTTGAAGTAGAAGGAAAAAGATTGTACAGACAAAATATGAAATTGGCTATTTAAAATATGGAAGGTGTCTAATTATTTATAATTTTTTGTTTGTAGAAGTAAAATTATAATAATAATGATAATGTAATAATAATTAAACACCTTCCTTAATTATAATGTAAAAAATTATTATTATTATTATTATTACTACTACTATTATTATTATTAATATTATTATTACTATTATTATTATTATTACTACTACTATTATTATTATTTTTATTTTTATTATTATTATTAGTATTATTAGTATTATTAATATTATTGTTATTATTATTGTTGTTGTTGTTGTTGTTGTTATTGTTATTATTATTTTTTATTATTATTATTATTATCATCATCATCACCATCATCATCATCATCATCATCATCATCTTCGTCTTCTTCGTCATCTTTGTAATCGTCATCATAATCATCATCATCTTCGTTATCTTCGTCGTCATCGTCGTCGTCATCGTCATCGTCGTCATCATCATCATCATCATCATCGTCACCTTCATCGTTATCACCATTACCACCATCATCATCATCGTTATCTTCTTCGTCATCACAATAATAATCATCATCATCATCGTCATCGTCACCTTCATCGTTATCACCATAATCATCATCATCGTTATCTTCATCGTCAGCACCATCCTCATCATCATCATCATCTTCGTTATCGTCATCGTCATCACCATCATTATCATCATCATCATCATAGTCACCGTCATCGTCATCGTCACCATCATTATCTTCATCATCATCATCATCACCATCATCATCATCATCATCGTTATCGTCATCATCACCATCATCATCATCATCACAATCATCATCATCATCACCATCATCTTCATCATCACAATCATCATCAGCGTCATTATCACCGTCATCGTCATCATCACCATCATCGTCACTGTCTCCGACACCGTTATTATCACCGTCGTCATCATCATCATCATCATCGTCGCTGTCACCATCACCATCATCATCAATGTCACCGTCACCGTCACCATCACCACCACCACCACCACCATCATCATCATCATCATCACCATCATCATCACCGTCATTATCAACGTGCATCGTCATCATCATCATCATCGTCACTGTCACCATCACCATCATTAACAACGTTACCGTCACCATCAGCACCATCATCACCATCGTCATTATCATCATTACCATCTTCATCGTCATCATCATTCTCATCGTCATCATCATCGTCATTATCATCGTCATCATCTCATCATAATCATCATCAATATCATCATCATCACGATCACCATCATCATCATTACCATCATCATCGTCGTCGTCACCATCATCTTTATCATCATCGTCGTTATCATCATCATCATCATCATCTTCATCGTCATAGTCATCATCATCACTGTCATCGTCATCATCATTATCATCATCATCATCATCATCACCACCATCATCACCATCACCATCATCATCATCACCATCACCATCATCATCACCATCATCATCATCACATTCATCACCATTACCATCATCATCGTCATCACCACCACCACCATCGTCATCGTCATCATCATCATCACTATCACCATCATCATCATCATCACCATCACCCTCACCGTCATCATCACCCCTACCGTCACCATCACCGTCACCGTCATCATCATTGTCACCGTTATCATCACCATCACCGTTATCATCATCATCATCATCTTCGTCATCATCATCATCATCATCGTTATCCTCATCCTCATTGTCATCATCATCGTCGTCGTCGTCGTCGTCATCATCATCATCATCATCACCATCACCATCATCATCACCATCACCGTCACCGTTACCATCACCGTCATCATCATCATCCTTGTCATCATCATCCACGTAATCATCATCATCGTCATGATCATTATCGTCATCATCATCGTTCGTCATCATCATCATCGTCATCGTCATCGTCATCATCATCCTCATCATCGTTGTCATCATCATCCTCATCATCGTCATCATCATCATTATCATCATTATTATCATCATCATCATCATCATCGCCATTATTATTATTATTATTATTATTATTATTATTATTATTATTATTATTTTCAGATCCGGTTTAATACATTCAATTTTTTTCAGTTTTGATTAAATCGTTATTTTTTCTAAGTTCATATCATAAGTCACATTTATTATATTTATTTTAATATTCATTTTTTGGTTACATTTGTTAATATTTATTTTTATATTTTGTACAATCTAAAAATCTTTTAAATATTACGAGTGAGTTTTGCACATGCAAATTAACCAATAAGTTTTGGCCACAATTGAGCCCAATGACTAACAACTCATTATTTAAGAAACAATCAAGTCAAAAGCTGTTGGGAGTTGATATTTTTTGAGATAAGGATTTTCACATGAGCTCCACCAGTTCACCGCCACCAACAATCCTTTATCTACTTTAATTCCGTTTCCCAGCAGCCAAACAATGCCTTTTACCGGCTAAATCTAGCCAAAGACACATACACAACGCCTCACAACCTCTTCTTCTTCCTTGCTGCCTCCGACCACCTCCACAAAACAGCCACCGGAAATGAACCTTGAACCACTAGACCTACCTCTGTCTCCTCCAAAAAACATCATAGACCTCCATCTAAAACCACCAAGAGACCCACAAAGCGAGCAGAAGCTCCAAACGACCCCATTCCCACTTTTGTCTGAAACACTTCAATAGCAAATGGAGCCAGCAAGATTCGATCTCTGAGCTCTATTTCCGGCAAGCTCCTAGCTTACGGAATAACAACCAAGACCAGCAGCTCAACAGCAAACCAGAAACCCCCAAAACCACCAGAAAATCCATCAACACCAAGCTCCTTCCCTTCCACTTTCTCCCTTTTATGTGATTTTCATTTGTTTAGCAGCGATTCCGGCAGCAACAATGACAACTCCGGCGAATAATAGTTCAAATCAGCCTCCAGCGAGCTCCAAAGGCGAACAACAGAGCCAAACAACTCAACTCCGGTGAAATTTGGTCTTTGATGGTTTTGGTAATAATTTTTTACTCTTTTTGTTTTCTTTATTTTTTAATGCATGTATAGTTGAATGGATTGATTTTAGCACTTTTGGTGAACTTTATGTTTTTCCAGTTAATTCCTTTTTCAAATTTTCACGCTTTTTACTTCGTTTTACTCGTTGATTATTAGTGAATTATCATGTGTTTAGGGTTATATTTGTTCAATTTTTAGTTATAATATTAATATTTGTGTTATGTAGTCTTTTTCATATAAAAAAATACTTTGATTGCTCCATTTTGGGATTGTTTTAAGATTTTGTGTTAACTCACATTTTTGCATTATGCACGATTTGTTGTTTTGTTTGTTCATTAAACAATTTGGGTCGACTTTATTATATACTTCTTTTATATTTATTTTGCATCAAATTTTCATATTTTTGGCATCATCAGAAATATGTCTTCTTATTGCTTGCTCACTAGTATAACAAATTATTGCTATTTTATTGTTGTTGTTTATAAGTTAAGTTATATTATTATTTAATGTTGCATTTTTTATTTCTTTGTTATTTCACTATGTTATTTTCTGCCAGCTTTTGTAGTCGATTCACTTAGTTGGTGGTATTATTTATTCTTAAATATTATCTAATTTGAAAACAAATAATAAGTTTTATAAGATATATGATAAAATGGCCAATAAAAACTCTGCGTCGGTTTTGGAGGTCTTCCCAAATTAAAAGAGGGAAATTTAATTTAAATATATATACTTTATTTATTAAAATTGGTAATAAAAAAATCTGTCCGTCAATTTTGGAGGCCTCCCGTGTTAATACGATGGATTTTTATTTTTAAGTTATTATTATTAATTTTTATTTATATTTATTTAGTGCTAACTCTTTTACTAAGTGTCTTTACAGGTACACGAAACTGCTTTTCAATAATGTTATTCGAATTAAATTCGAAATATATTCATTATGTATTATTTTGTATCTATTGACGTTAGACAAACTTTAGGTCGATTTTTACATTATTAGTTAATAATTTGTGTATATTGTATGCTGATTGTATTTGTATATTTGTTTGATATTCTCCTCAATTTGAAAAAATGAATTCAGTCTGGACCCACATTTGTGATTTTCGAATGGTGCCTAATACCTGTTGGGTTATGGGCCTTTTACCCTTCCTATGTGGATAAATAAAAGCCCAATTTGGACCAACCCATTTTTTGCTCATAGGCCCATTCTTATGAGGCAAATATAAGCCTATTGATGTCTTATTTTCAAATACACAGAGAGTTTTTTCAGCAGCCAAAATGAGAAAAAGAGAGCAGTTTTCGCAGTCAAAATTCAGCCCTAACAGCCAACTTCAAATTGCGATTCCTGCTTCGTTTCTTCTCTGATTGAGCTGATTTTTGGACAGCATATTATCTTCATCTCAATCTTTGATTAGGAACTGACAGCTTCAGTTTTTCTGTCATGAACAGTAGCTGCGAAATTGGTGATTTTGCTCCTTTAATTCTCTAGATTTGGTGCAATCTTATTTTGTTGTTGCTCATTGTTTGGCACTTGTTTTGTGGCCAATTTTGGAGAAAAATATTGTAACTCTTGGTGATTATAGTGGAGCTTTTGGTCCAGTGGTTTTTTACTCTTCACATCGAAGGTTTTTCCACGTAAATCTTGGTGTCTTGTGTGATTGGTTTATTATAGTCTTGTTATATTTGTTTGATTGAATTACTTGCTGCCTTACTATCATATTGCTTGTGGTTGTTTGTCTTCTCTTGGTTCAAATCGAAAAGGGAAAGTATAGACTTGGGTATTCTTCCGCTGTTATCCTGTCAGGCATTCTTTGTTAGTGCCTTGTCTTTCCCAACAATACCTTCCCTTCGGAATAACCTTAACTCTTATCTTGAATCTAATCGTTTCATATATCACTTAATAATTTCCTAGTTTTTTCCTATAATTAAGTGGTGAATCCTTTAAAATTTATTTATTCTTAGAACTCTTTTTAAATTAAATGAATTAATTATTTTTTGTGTCACCATGACGTTTCTCCCTATTTGAATAGAGTAGGGATGTAAACAGTGAAGAAGGGTATTTTTGTGGGAAAAGGATTGTAAGACCCTGAAAATGAATTAAGGTGCTTAGAACCTCACATGTGTCTGAAAAGGTTTAAATTATGTTCGTTAAGTTTTTTATAGTATGTATACTTGATTTGAAGTCATTTGGAGGTCAAGCGTCCAAGAATGTCCACGACATTCAAAAGTTGGTCTTTAGACGTGCTAGTGTATCCTTGTATGGTGGCCTTGTTTGTACGTTTTGTTTGAAGCCCAAAAACAGTAGGGATGATCCTAGACTTTTAATAGACATGTTAAGGATCAAAACATCCGGCTACGACTCCCAGAGGACCACCCCTAAGGGCCCCCAAGGAGGACCCAAACATTGGACAAGGAGGCTGCTCAATGAAGCATGCAGCAGCAAGATTGGGGACCAGCCTCGCATCGCGCGCCTGTAACTTTGTGTACATGTCTTAAAGTCCCAATAAATATGGGGGTATTTTGGTAACATAGGGAGATGGTTAAACTGTTTTTATGACTTATTTAACCCCTTTCCCAAGCCAAAACCCAAAACCCATTAAGAAAATCAAAATCCTAAATCTCTCTTCTCTTCCAAATTCTCTCAAACCTCCATTGGAGGGAAAACTCAAGGTTCAAGCTAGGGGCTGATTTTCATGCTTTATTCTTCAATTTTTTGTGGGCTTCTCATGTAGAAAGGTATGTTAATCCTTCATCCTTTTTTATCCATTCATCTAAGGAGTTCTTGCAAAGATAATTCATGATAAAAATTGCAATCTTTCAATCTATCCATGGGTTCTTTGTCAAATTGATTTCAAAAGGATTCTAATGATGAATTTATGATTTTAAGATGAATTTTATCTAATTCCATGAAGAACCCATGATCTCCCCAATTTCTCAAATTGGCCTATAATGTTGGTCTTGTGATCTTTACTCTATGTTGATTGAATTATGTTTCAATTATGTTGAATTACCTATATGTTATTTATGTGAATTGAATATAAATTGATTATGGGTGATCAATGATGATGAAGGTTTAGGGATTGGGTAAATTGATCTATGTTCCTCTACTTTCTATAGACTTAAAGAAATAGTTTACCTAATGTGATGTTGAAACCATGATGTTTGAAGTATGATTTCGTTTATGTAATGATACCTTTAGCAACTGTTATATACATGTATAGACTTTAAATTATGGGAATTTATCAATGATAATCAAACTTGGAGGTATTGTAAGTTGGCCTTATTCTCTCTACTTTTCTATAAATTTGCTAGATGCTTGACCTTATATGACATTGTGTGGTATGATCCACTTATGGTGGAGGTGTTTACTTCCTTGTCATTCTATATGTGATGTGATCATGTCCTTGGGGTAAATTGTATCTTAAAAGTGTGCTTATGATGATCACACAATGTGAAGTGTTATGCCTAGTCTACAATGCTACTTCATGATTTAGGTTATACTGATGATTCCTCCTATATGTTAATGAAGATGTTAGGGTTATGGGTCTCTACGTTTGATATGGTTGAGGTCTATTGATGATTGGTTACTCTTGTATAGCATGAACCCTACCTATGAACCTCTACACGAATGCGTGGTCTTAAGCATGATTAGGAGTCTTAAATTAAAGTAACAAAGATATCTTGTCTCCTATGTTGTAATGTGTTTGGTGTGTGGTCTATAGTCCCTATTACTCTATATGTGAGTTGTCTATGGTTTATGTAACTTGAATGTACATTGTGGTCTAAGAGGGTGGCTGCGTCAATGTGATGTTGATAGCCATTGTATGATCATGTTGACCAATGTACACACACTTACACCTCATGCATGTTTACAAGTAGTATAGGTTGATGTTGTCT